GCTGGCGACGTCTCGGAGTAGGGCCTTCTCTGTTGCCGCTCCGGCCCTATGGAACGAGCTACCCCCAGAGATCTGGACCCTTCCCACTCTCATGGCCTTTCGTAAAGCTATCAAAACCTGGCTTTTCTGGCAGGCCTGGGGCTGTTGACCTCTTGATTGAGGTCCAGCCCTGCTTAGACTGGGTGCATGTTGTGTTGTTGTTTTTTTAATTTGTTGTGTCCTATCTGTTTTAACCCTTTTAAATATTTCTTATTCTTATTTCTGTAAGCCGCCCGGAGTCCTCCGGGATTGGGCGGCCTATAAATTTAATAAATGGAAATGGAAATGGAAGTCATATTTTCTGCAATCAAATTTGGAGCGGTTTACCTTGAGTTTGTATCTATTGCTTGCCCATATATTATTGTGGTTGAAGCTGAAGTAGTCATTGACAGGTAGGATGTTGTAGCAGACAATTTTGCGTACTAATCTTAGGTCAGAACGTAAGCAGCCGAGTTCCAGGTTATCCAAGCCCCAAATTTTGAGCCTGGTGGCATAAGGGATTCTATTGTGAGCAGAGGAGTGGAGGACTCTTCTCACGAAATACCTCTGGACTGTCTCAATTGTATTAATGTCCGATAAACAGTGTGGATTCCAGGCAGACGAGCTGTATTGGAGGATTGGTCTGGCAAAGGTTTTGTATGCTTTAGTTTGCAGTACAATGTTACCGGAGAAGAAGCTTCGCGACATTAGGTTAACAACTCTTAATGCTTTTGGGTTATGTCTTTAGTTTGTAGAATGAGAAAGGAAAATAGAGAAAAGGAAGCTGGGTCTAATAAAAAAAAATCAGAACGGTTTTGTCTTCCAGATGTGTGGATTTCATCTCCAGATCTGCTTGTCGTTGGCTTCAGAGTTCTGGATGTTGTAAATTCACACATCTGGAAGATTGGGGAAGATTGAGGAAGGATAGTTTAATGTTTTTTAATCTGTTTGGTTTTAATAGAACTTTATGTGCTTTTTAAATTGATGATTTTGGCGGCCGCCCACAGTTCGTTAGAAGATGAGCTGCTATGTAAACGTTTAAAATAAAATAAATATTTTAGGAACGTAAAAAAAAATTATAGTGAGCAAGGAGTAACGAATTTTATTCTAGTTATGTTTTAAAGTTCTAAATTAATGCATGGAATTGTAACACACAGAACTATATTCATATTCTGACATTTTTGAATTTATAATTCTTGTAAATTTCTTATTTACGTTATGCTATGTAAAAAAAAATACAAAAGAGAGAAAAATGAAAACAAATAAGGCATTTTTAATATAAAAAGTTACGATAAACTATCCTAAGGAGAGAAATCTCAGGTGAACAGAAGAAAACGTTGTATTTATTGATCGCAATGTTAATACATTTTATACCTATGTTTATGATTTGATTTTAATGTAAGCCGCACAGAGGGAAGATGGGGGAAGATGTGCAGAAAACCAATTTAATAATTAAAAATAAGTGAAATAAATAAAAAGCAAGTATGCAGGTTAAAAGGTTAATAAGTGGTGAGATGCGAATGATGGTTATAATTTCTAAATTTACATTTGCCAAAGTTCAGGCACTCTTTGTAAACTGCAGAAGGGAGTGAAGTCCCAAATAATATTTTCTTCTATGGTCCCCCTCTCTTAATACTTTTGTTGTTGTTGTTGAAAAACTACCTGGTTTGCTTAAAATTTGGGACTGACAAATTATCAAATCTCAATCGGGTATGTTGTCTCATTTCTCTTCAACTGTTTAAAGAAAAAAATGAGATTTGGGGACAAGCACATCAATCAGGAACCTCCTTCCCCTAGAATTCTTCAGAAGGAACCTTACCTTTTCAATTTTAGACCATTTATCCAGCACATCACTCGCAAAATTAAAGTACTTCGGCACTTCTTTGTCCCCGCGATTAATGGCTTCAAACTCGGAAAGATTGAGAGAGGTAAACAGCCTCACGGCTTGGGGCACCGATCTACCAAATCTGCTACTCCAGGCGGACTTCAGCAACTTGTGGTTGATGAATAAGATCTTCATGGCTGCGGTGAAGACCACGCAGTTTCTTAAGAGTTGGTTCTTCAGGGAAGGAAGAGATTAGACATGGATTGTTACCAGGTCAAAGAACACCTAAGCTGGATGGTGAGATGCGTGTTGATTCTTCTCCTTCTAAAGTGTCTGTTAGCAATCCAGGAAATAGTTTTACTCAAGAGAAAAAGGCCAATGCAATTCATAAACTAGTGGCCCAAACCCATTGAGATGAACGAGGTGGGATAAGGCATAGGTATTGTTGAGCTAGCAACCTGTAGCAATCTCTACTATTCTTATGTTTTCAAGCAAATACAGCACAATCTGGTGGGACTGTGACTCCCCATCTCTTAAAGAAAATATGCACGGTGTATCTTCTGTGTAAGGAGAAAGGAAGCCAGAGTCATGATTTGTAAGCTCCATCAGCAACCAGCCCTTCCAGTTCCTTACCTCTTTCACAATCTTGGGTCAGTAAAAACGTTCTGTTGACTACCTTCGTCGAGCCTTTTCTACACCTGTTTGCAGTTTGAGGTTGGCGTACCCCTCAGTAGACACAGGAGATTGAACGCGGGATCAGTAATGGATGGAAACCGAATCCATCAATAATTAATAACCGATGGAAATTGAACAAGGAGAGCGTTAAGCGGGAAATAAGGAGAGATCTTCTGACAGTCAGAACAAGCAACCCCCTTGGAACAGAAGTTGCCTTCGGAAGTTGTGGGAGTTTCATCACTGGAGGCTTTCAAAAAGAGACCGGACTGCCATTTGTCAGAAATGGTGTAAGGTCTCCTGCTTGGGCTAGATGACCTACAAGGTGTTCCTTCCATCTCTGTTAATCTGATGTTCTATCATCATGTGAGTAACATTGAACATTGCTTGTTTCTTTGCCTCTCTTCAAATCACACTCCCATATAATTATTCCCAAAACACCCATCACTTGCAAATTCATATCTAACTTGACTAGAAAGAGACCTTAGAAAGTCAATGTTCTCCAAGGTTCCTCACTGCACTCTTGCGAGGACAGATGAGCAATTAAGGAAGCCGTAGCAAAGCAGGGGAGCAAATCATCAGCTAGAAATGGCAATGAAGGGTAAAAAAATGACACAGTTGTCCTTACCTGAAAGTGATCAGGGGGGGCGGTGGCGGGGGGAACAAGCTCTGTTTAACTTGCCATTCAGGCGCTTCTACAGGTGGATGGAAGTGTCACCTCCTCTACTTCTCTCCTGTGAACACGCTTTCAAAAGCCCAGAAGATTTATCTTTGTGCAGTAGGTGGCTTTCATGGAAAAGAATTATGCATTTGTGGGAACGGAAGGTTTAAAAAAAAAAAAAAATTCTCCAATTCCACTCCTCCCTTTTCTTTGTTTCTTCTTCTTTTTTTTTTAAAAGGCAAAACAGTGAAAAGGAGAAGAGAAGGGTATCATTGCTCCAGGATTAATTCCGTGCAGGTGACAAGTCATGTAATCTCCCCAAGAGGGGTGGGGCACGGCGGAGGGACATTTCACAGACCTATGTCTCACCTCCAGAAGTTGTGGGGTTATTAAGAAGAGATTGGACAAGCTATTTGTCTGAAATGGTATAGGGTTATTCTATTCTATTCAACTCTACTCTACTCTATTCTACTTCTATTATTTCTATTTCTAATTTCATTCTATTCTATTCCATTCCATTCTATTCTATTCCCCTTCCTTCTTTCCTTATTCTGTTCTATTCTATTCTATTCTATTCTATTCTATTCTATTCTATTCTATTCTATTCTATTCTATTCTTCCTTTCCTTATTCTATTCTATTCTACTCTACTCTACTTCTATTATTTCTATTTCTAATTTCATTCTATTCTATTCTATTCCATTCCATTCCATTCTATTTTCCTTCCTTCTTTCCTTATTATAGTCTATTCCAGTGGTAGTCAACCTTTTTCTACCTACCGCCCACTAATGGATCTTTCTTGATGGAAAAATTTCCTTACCA